ATAGTGATCAGATCGTTACAGAAGGTTGGTCTTGGATGGTCTTGGACACCCAGGTTTTTTCAAACCAGCCATCATGGACACCTGCAGCTACTGGTAGAGACCAGATTTCGTCCGGTGCTCGGATCAGCAGGTGTTGTGGTACGGATTCAATTCCTGCAGCTTTGTGGCTCAGCGAAAAGCGATACCTCGAGAGCCGCGGGCGAGTCAAGCACCATGGGTGTCCTGGCGAAAAAAACCAGACCTGCGTGCTAAGAGCGACGTGTGGTAGAACGAATTGCCAATATTGCCATCTATAGGCCTTTTTTGATCTTTTTCGGTTGGAGTGGTGTCTTTTTCGCACGAAGTTCGACCGGCACCCCGTCCGTCCCGTCGACTCAGGCCTGCCCCAAGTGGTGCGCGCCCTAGGATCGGTCCGACTTGAGCAGTGAGAACGCCGAGAGCGGCCAGCCTCGGCTGAAGGTGTTTGATCGGTCCGACCCGTTGTTTAGCCGAGGGCAATCACTTCTATAGGAGCATTTGGGGCCACGCTACGAACGGGGGCTCCTGGTGTAACAAGAAGCGATTAGAAACAAGCTATTGGCTCCTGGTCGACAGCATAAGTGTTTGTGTCCGAACCAAGGCTGGTCGAAGCAGAGGTTGGTGCCTTACGACGGCTGATGCTATGTTCATGACATGGTTCCTTCAGGCCATCGCTTCTAGGTTGGAGGCCATTGCTATCAGGCTTTTCTTCCTTTTTTTAAAGTCGTGCTTGACCCCTCAGACTTGCAAGATGTGGCGATCCGCAACTGCGGTTTGAGGCCTTTTAATCTTCATTTGCTTCACTTGGTGCTTTTGGTGCGTGGCTTTTGTGCAGGTGCTTTGCCCAGCTTGGTTCTGTTTGCATTAGTTTACATGAAGGATGCGTGTCATCATGAATCTAAGAAAGGCAGCCAGTTAGAGAAGTCTGCTGTATCACTCGGACAGGGTCAGGTTGATGAGAAGGGAAGCAGCTCGGGTTGTTGAGAAGGTACGAAACAAACGGAATCAAAGATACAACTGCATGCTGTGCCTTCAACTACCAACCTCCAATTTGAATACCGGCGATTTTGCCACTAAGATTAGTAAGACATTGTTCGATTGACTGTGAGTCAAAATGCCAGAACGAGAACACGATAGACTTGAACAGCCAAAGATGAAAACCATTGGCATCGATAATCCACAATTGAAAGTCGAATTACTCTATGACACATCCTGGCACCTTACTCAGATACAAATCATCACAAACCCATGGTGGTGATACATACTGTATTTGTATCTCTACGGGCCCTCGACTTGGTTTTCCTTTGCGGCTTGGCTGTGCTTGAAGACTCTGGCTCTGACTCTTGCCATCTTCGCAATCGCTGCACCTTGCAACCTGCCCAGACGCCGTCCCAGCAGCGCGACGAGCTCGTGCGGACCTCGCGAGCAGCGACGAAGCAGCGGGAAGCGAGGCAGAATAGAAAGGCCAGAGGGAAGGAAATTGAGAGAATGATGGCGGGCAAACAAGCAAAAAGGACATTTGACAATCCTTTATAGACATTATTGTTTTCTTTTTTCACCTGCCTGTGTAAGTTTTTCGTTCTGACTCTGCCTTAAAAGCCACGAAGAAGAACTTGGCAATTTTGTCAAAGGATCCAACCAAATATATAAAATTATATAAATTAATGTATGCATATAACTTGTATAATGGTATATATGTATTTATTTACTGTTATATAGCTGTATATATATATATATTTGATTATTATAGTGTTTGTTTTGACCTTTAAAACATATCATGTTTGTTCTTCTTCATTTTCTCCGGAGCCTTCGAGTCGAAGGAGTTGATTGAGCTGGAAGACTTCGACGCCTGGGAGGTGCGCTGTTCGACTTCGCCGCGTTCGTCGCCGCGTTCGTCGCCGACGTCCCGTCGCAGGTGCTGGATTTACCGCCGGATGCCGATAAGCAGAAGATCCGGCGGCGCTTTCGAAAACTGGTGGCGTGGCGCCTCAGAGTGGTGGCGTGGCACCTGTTTCGATCGCTTGCGAAAAAACGAGGGTCTTTTGCCATGGTCCTTTGTGCCGTGTAGCAGCCTTTGGGGAGCAAGAAAGCTGGCTGAACAGGGCCTCAACACCCCCGCCCACGCGTAGTACGCGTGGCGTGCGAGGCCACGCAACATCCGGATCGACGACCCAATGACCCTGATGCCGTGGTGAAGTTTATGCGGATCAAGAAGGCATGGATTGACTGAAGGTTGGAGGAAAATCATGGATTGACTGAAGGTTGCTATAGACTCTTAGATGAACAACATCACTCTCTCTCCATAACTAAGTATGAAGAGACCATTCTAGTTGGGGGGTGATTCATGAACAGTCTACGTTGATTGTATAGTTCCTGAGAACTGAACTGAACGAACTAAGAGCGCCCTGTTGACATGCAGGCCTACGAACAGCTTATGGGTGCGCCTGGCAGGGAGGATGAAGCGAACGACCGCATGCCTGTCACATTGTTTGAACAGAGATGGGTGAACATTGGAGCAACATAGAAGACGATGATTTTGTCGACCATCATAGACGTGTCACAAATGACCCGTGACTCACGCTCTGAGATTCAGTCAAGGCCCACAAGAGAGCTTTCTTTAAAAAACGCCTCATATTGGAGCTCAGATATACTCACATGATCACATGTATGCGACTAATTATATGTGTCCACTACAAATGTCGACATATGTCAAATGTATCTCAAACATGGCAAACCCATGCCCTCATTTTTAAACGTTCTACCAGTCACCATTTGTCAGCCGCTGGTCTCCCCGTGTCGAGGCAGTGATTCCAGCCTGAAGGAGCTGAAGCAATGGGCGGAGGAGAATCGGGAATGGTCAGAGCCGGGCTCCCATTGAGCAAAAGGACTGCTCCAAAGCGGAAGGAGAACGGGCACATCAACCTATCGACCTTCTCAAAGAGATTGGTATAAGAGGTTAAGGTGACTTCCTGACATAGCCTCGACACAACTTCCTCGACAGAACTCTGCGAACCTCCATGCATTTGGGGTCGTGTTTTGGTGTCGGGGGGCGAGAGAGAGAGAGAGAGAGAGAGAGTGAGAGAGAGAGAGAGCGCGAGAGAGAGAGAGAGAGAGAAGAGCTGGAACGCGTGTGAGACAGTTGCCATTCGTTGCAGAGGTTGCCATCTTGCAAGAGCACTTGCCTTCTTACTTGTCCATTCGGTATGTACGTGGCAAGCATTTGACCACGATTCATTGACGTTCACCGACTTTTCCTTTCACACCAGCCGTTTCTTTTTTGGCTGCCCCATTTTTGATATGATCCCAGCAAGGCATCGAATCGACTACGCCCGAGTCCCATCGTCCAAGGTCTGCTCGTGAATTCCTGGGTGAAGAGGAGGATCTGCCTCCTCCAGACGTGCCACCAGCCTTGTATGTCCAAGCCCAAGATGGGGCACCTGGATGGGGGTGCGGGCAGGTTAGGCTAATCGGTGCACAAGATGGGGTTTGTTTGCCGGTCGGTTTGCCTTCTGCAATTCATTTTGGAGCTGTCCAAACTGCGCAGGTTCTCAAGCCGAGAATCAGATTTGACCTGACAACTCTTTTTTCCCTTCCAGGTCCCGACTAGCCATCGTGATGTGCCATGTCTCGGGAGACATCCTATATACGCACTCTATCTCCTGCCCAAACATCGGGCGGCATGGACAGTCTTCTATTGTTGAGCCATACGGCCATACGTTGGGTCTGTCCCATTGTCGGTCAACAATTAAGGTAATTATCGCTATTTTAGAGAAACGCTTTTCCATGCTTGTACTAACCATCATCCACTGTTACTGGTAACAGGATAGACCTAACACATATATGATTCCTTTGATTTGTCCTCTTCAATGCACATGTCAACCGGGCTGTTCGACCCTCGATCTGTGTCTCAGGCCGGGCTCGGCGTTCTCTTTGTGGCCTTGGCCTGTGGCACCTATTTGTCTCTGAACAAATAGCTGTGCTCCGGATCTCGGCACCGGATCTCGATGAAGAGACGCCTTGTAAATAGACCCGAGAGCCCGTAACGGGGGATGACACGTGGAGCATGTCCACCGATCTCCCTTGGGCGTGACATCGCCCCAGAACCAAAAACAGACAGGTCGTTCACACGATTGGAGCAGGAGGTGTCACGTGTTACGATTGTTACGTGTCACGACGCGTCAGTGGTGACACGACCTTCAGCGGCATCGCTCCGTGATGAAATCACGGGGCATCGCTCCCAGTGCCAGTCATGCGGAAAAGAAAGGTGCTCAGAAAGGGTGGTTTGGAAGGGATGGAAGAGGCTGAACTTCAAGCTGAGAGCGTCAAGCAGGCCAGTTTCTTCGGCCTTCAGATTTTCCGCAAATTGTTTGGAGGGTCAACATTGAGCGACAGGTACTGAAAGAGACTACCCTGGTGCACAAAGAAGCACCCGTGCAGGTTTAAAGCTTGGATGATTGAGTATTGCAGGACTTTGGCCTCACCCTTCCTGTGATTGAGACTCCTCAGATTGTGGTGTCAAGTGCTATTGATTTGGCCCAGTCATGTTGCCCAGTTCAGGCCATCAAAGAAGTCTTGGATCACCTGCAATTGCAGAAGGTCGTCATGGTAGGCGCGTAGATGTTTCAGAATCTGGCAATCCGTCAGGCCAAAGAAGCAAAGACATGCAAATACCAGTTCCACACCAAGAAACCAATGCTGATCAATTGACATCTGCTGGAGTTTGTGATCAAGTTCTACTTGCTCCAAGAACTGCGGACCTTTCTGAACTCCATGTATATAGTTGCACAATGTTGCATATAACTCCATAGTTGAACTCCATGTATAACTCCACATATATATCTCTTCATCCATCCCAAAAAGCCTCGCGTCACGTCCTTGGACCGACCGATCTGCCAGGCTATTCGTTGGGTGGTCGTGTGGCCATGGGTTTCGCTGACAGGCGCCATGAGGGCGGCTGGGAAGATGGGAAGGCACTGAGACATGTTCACAAGGCATTGAGAAAGAAATCCCTAGTGTGTTTTCACATGTTCACATTTTTTTCACATGTTTCTTGCAACAATACTGGACTGCTCCACCCAACTCGAGCACACAAACAAACGAAAGGCACGATCAAGCGCCGAAACTGCCCCATGCTGTCACTCCAGTTTCGGGGCCCAGCCAAGCCTGCCTGCCGTCGAACGTCACGTGAGTTTGAGGATCAAAGAACCACAATGACAAATTCTTGCTGCTTGATGTGAAGATGGCAAGCAGATGCAAGCAGCAAGCTCTCCATCCTGGCTTGAAACATGGCTAACATGGTTTTTCACCAATGTCTCTGTCAACATCTCCAGGGTCCAGGAAAGAACTGGTGTTCCTCAATAACGCAGATTTAGATTGTGGTTCATATGTTCTCAAATTTCTATTTCCATTGGGCAATGATGAGACTACACCATTCATGAGAAAGCACATTTGGTCGCTCCAACTATAAGTGTGGCCAGCATGGCAAACCCTGGGCTTGGTGGTAAAGAACATGAAGAGTTTTCCGAGCTAGAAAGCAGGGCTTGGTGGACAGGAACGTCAATCAAATCAACACGCAGATCTCCAGCATGTGAAGAGATATGATCACACTGTGGCAGCCGGATTACACGTCCGCCCCTGTCCTAGCTTGCATCAATGGAGGTTGAATCCACACATTCTGGGCCCCTGTCCTTAGGTCCGTTCCCGGGATGATCGGCACCGGAAAACCAACCAGTTGACCAGTTGACCACCCATAGACAAACAGAATAGACAACGTGAAGGAGGTCAACCAACCCTGGTGACCAGGGCTGTTTAGCTGTTTAGGACCCACAGTTTCATCAAGTTTCATCCTTGGTCTAGACCCGAACTCGTCGACTGCCAGCCTTCCGGAGCGCTGTGCGGCCTTGGTGGTCTTGTTGGCACCCCCAGAAACGAGCAAAACGACAGCGCTGGAGTGGGAAGGACAGCGCCGTTCTGATGGTCGGTTCTGAAGGGCGGAAGGACATGATTTAGGGGTTCTCAGTCTGCAGGACTTGTTGCTAACCACCAAAGCAGCTCATCCAGTTTTTCATTGCTCACCTGAGTACTGTAGTCCAGATACCCTTGGCTTCAGAGGGCACCGTGGCACCCCTGAGATGTCTGAAACAGACAGATGGGGGTCTATATAAACCACTAGTACAACCACCATCTACTTGGGGGCCCTTGTGCCATTGTTGAAGCCTCTGCAATCCAGCTCGTCACTGTCACCCATCTCCTTGGTGGTTACTACACCAACCGTCCAACCATCCGAGGTCGGCGAACCCCGGAGTGACCACGGCCGCGGAACGGCATCAGCGCTGGCAGCAGGACGAGCGTTGAGGTAAGGTCGGTGTTGGGGAAAACTGCTGGGAGCCTCATCAGTGGGAGGATGAGGAAGCATGGATTCAGTGATGAGTTCACAGTGATTCTCAAATTTTTTATTCTTCAATGACTGGACAGTGGAGGAAGAAAGTGCCAGGTGGGGAGTTGGCAGTGTTTTTTAGGATCAGCGACAAGCCAAACAGCTCGTCGAGAATGGCTTGGAGGCGGTCGAAAGGTCCATCTTGAGTGAACAAAAACAGTCTTGACAGCTTGACTCATTTGTTCCCAGGTTGCCTTCGTTCACGTCTGCCGATTCCACTGTACTTACATATGGTAATTAAGATCAATTGCAACAGTCAGTCGAATGCCAAAAGGTGTCACTGGAAAGAAACAAATTCAACTCATGCACTTCGCGTGCCGCCTTGGAAGGCATTTCTGGAGACTTGGTATTCTGCTCCACTTTGGGCAGGCGATAGCAAGCCGACTAGGTGACTGTTTGAGAGATGAAATCAGCGCCTACGAGCTGCTATTGGATGGCATTTTTTGGGATAGATAATGCATGGAAGCTCCTTTAGTGGTCGGCCAAGTGGCCTTTCACCTGTGCATAAGCAGAGTTTCCTTTCTTTTTGCCTTCATTGCTTCTTACATTCTCACGTATTGGTTTCCGCATGTTTCGACACCTCATGTCGTCAGCGGTTTTGGGTCGTGGGAAGCACTCAGACCCCATGGTGAACGGGGCGTGCATGGTTGCACCTTTACCTTCCATGTCGTTGAAACACTCAAAGTGCCAAAACGTGTTGGCTCACGGATCAACCTTTGCGGGCAAAGCGATATATCCATGGGACATGAGTCATTCCACTGTATCCAGATCGTGCTGAAATTCTTGGCGTTCCAGGCCTCAGGGAGCGTCGACCTGATGTCTATTCCCGCATGTGCTGCTGGCTTCATTGGGTTCGGATGAAGGCGAAGGTACTGCATCTCTATCTGCGTTCTATCCTCTATGGTCCTTCACAGTTGAGAGAGGCACATAGCCCAAGTAACACCGGATCTAACCTTGTAGATCCTTGTAGCATAAAGACAATAACATACTTGAAGAACTCGGCAGGCAGTAGTTCGCGTGGGGACTTCTTTTCTGGCCATTTACCTCTTCTTTCCAGGGGACATAGGAACGGCCCCTTTTTTTCGGCACTGGACATGGCCAAAGGATCCCCTGAGCACCGATGAAGGCACATCAATTGATCAGTTTTGTGCTTCAAGGAAACTCTTCCAGGAGGATCTCTCCTGGACAAATCATGATAGTGGCTCCACTGGACATCACTGGAGACTACTGTTACACCACGTTTGGGAACCTTTCGCACGCGTGGGTCTGAGCGCTTCGGCAGCGCTTCGTGCCCAGGATTGCGAAGCGCCAGAGAAGCCAAAGGTCCGGGTCTCCCGAAGAGAATTGCGACCTCGGTGAGGGAGAAAGACCAAACCAGACAGATCTGCTGACCAAAAAGACATGTTGTTTGGGCTCAGATCGCCTCTTTTCTCTTACTTTGGATGCATATTGGGTGGATTTCTTGCCACTGTGTTACATATTGGGTGGATTTTTTTGCTACTGTGTTATGTTTCTCTAAATGTAATGTTTTAGGCTGTAAGAGGTGCACTTGGTTTGAGTGGTGCAAGAACAAGCTCTTGACTCTTGTACGAGCTGAGATGTGCAAGACCGTTCTCAGGCATGAGTTGATTCAGCTTCTTTTCTGTGAATCACAAGTAGAGCCTTTCCTTCCGATGATGTTGTAAAGACGATGGTTCAGGTAGGACCATCGAAAGCGGTTTGTTTCATCTCCTTTCGAGCGCGCTGGCCACTTGGGCGTCAGCTGTGGGAGGCATTTGGCAGCGCGGGCATTGCTGGGGCCTAGGCCTTGGTGAAGACTTGGCCGCCAGGATGCTCTCTTGGTCAAAGCTGTGTGAAGTTTGGGGAAAAGCATCGGACAAAGCATCCAGCCTGGCCGGTTAGAACTGTTATTCGTGATGAAGATGGGTGAACAATGGTGTTGGAACCTGGATGAATGGTTCCATGGTGACTGTTGCATGGGATGTTCATTGCTTGACTAATCCAAGGTTCAAGATGGTTGGTTCTCCTGATTGGTTGAATCCCAACTCAACGTCCAAGGCTTAGCCTGGCGCGGCAGCCCAACTTCCGCCCACGCTTGGGTCAGCGGCTTCCGTTTTGGTGCCCACAACGCTGAGACCTTGGGTTGGCGGACGTACATCCTTATAGGAACGCGCTAGTGGAACTGCTCCGACAGAAAAAAGGTATCTGATATTCTCTGAGTATGATGCATTTCGAAGGTATATTGCATTCATATAATTTTGCAGAACATATAACATGCACTTTGAGGGATGACATGAATTGCTCTTCGAGTCAGACCATTGTTGTCAGAATCATCCTTATAGCAGGCCAAGGCTTCAAGGTAGGTTTCAGATTTCAGCGAAGAAACCGTGACCAGCAAAGCGAGCTTTTGATGCTCCATTGTTTGCCCACTCACAACTCGTTGGCCATTTGTTGGAATATTCGACGGGGATCACACTGCACAGCTCACACGCAAGGTAGCTGCTAGCCCTTCTTGCCCCTTTCCCAGGTACGTCTACGGAGAGATGGACACCAAATTTGCGGAAATTGGAAAAGACTTGGCCTGGTCGCCCGTGCCAAGAGATGTTAGATATGCTGGTGTTGAGAAAGGACCTAGCAGGTCCTTGCAGTTCAGACTGCACTGGAAGAGAAGCTAAGGGAAGGCAGCGACATCTGTAAGAGGAGACCTGTTCCCTGTGTAGTGAAGTTTCAGTACTTCAAATCTCAAACATTGTGTGTGTGTTTTTTGGCCAGGCATGCAGGCACGCATGAAAAGCAACAGCAGATTTGCCATGCTTTGCCACCTATAAATCATGGCAATTTGCAATACATTTCAACCGTATACTGTGTATATATAAAGCCAAACACAAGAAGACTTGAGGCTGCTTGCTCCTCACAGGTGGGCTTGGCGCGAAAATTACGTGGGAACTGAATGTGGAGTCCGTTCGCAGACTGGGCGGGAATGTTTCATGACATTTGTGTCTTCTTGTTGGAAGATGACCGTGAATCCCGCTCGAACATGCGACAATGATGGATGGCTCTTTTCTGTTTCTGGGCTTTCACCACTCGCTTAGACTCGCAGTAGACTGGAAGGTGTTTCGGTGTGTCCATCAAGTCTTTCAACCACGAGCGATTCTGATCACTAGGAAGATGTTGAGTGAGTGTTGGTGGGTGGAGTTGGTGACCATTGGTGACCTACCAGGTGGGTTATGAGGACCGATGAGTCACCGGCCTGCAGGTGAGTGCACTGCCCTGTGGCCATGCGGTCGTTGAGGAATGCCCCACGGAGGCCGCACTGCGGGTGGGACATCAACTGGAAGTCACCTCCCTCGACCCTCCCAGTCATGGGTATCAATTCACTTGAGGGTGACTTCCTGAAAGGGGATCTCCGACACTTCCGGAGGTCATCGAATTTTTTTTATATGCACATGCATCACGTTCTCTCTGTTTTTTACCCAGTCGAACACCCGATCCATACGAAAACCGAAACGGTGAAGACTTCAGCAGACCACTTCCTCACTCTTCCTCCAGACGCCTCCACTTCCTCCAGACGACTCCAGTACCCGGTCGGTGAACACTTCGCAGCTCCGAGCAGCTCCGCTCCGCTCGGTTGGCCCAGGTGGCTTCGCTGCTGTCCAGCGTGCTGAAGCAGCTGCCAAGAGCTGCTCCAGAGGCGGACGCCACGCGCTCCCGCCGCGGAAGAGCTCGAGCGGCAGAAGAGCGAACTGGTCGAAACCGAGGGAGGAGTCTTGCATGTCTCAGTTGGTTTTTTGGGACATGGAACTTGAGCACTTTCTGAGTTTCAGAAACACTTATAGGAATCAGAAACCACCAACAAAACCAAAGTACCTTCGATGGATGACCGCTGCTGGGCACTATGCACTATAGGGCACTCACCAACCCCAAACTCCTCTCCTTGGCTCCTCTCCACTCTCGGCGGCGCTCTCGGCTGGTCTCCCTTTGCACCAGGCTTTGGAGCTTGAAATCACCGCCTCTTGGACCGAGCCGGTGCAATTGTTGCTCAAGGCGGACCGGCCCAAACGGTGAGGATCGGGAGCCATAGAAGAGTGCTGAGCCACATAGTAGTGAGTATGTAGTCAGTAAGGCTGAGGCCACCGAGTAACTCGATGAATGGCAAAGGCTCAGGTTGTGGTTGATGCTGATGCTTCTACTTCGGAGGTGCATGCCATGTTATCGCACTCAGTTTTGCCAGCAGCTCAAGGCCTGACTAGTGCATGGTTTCAACAGTAATAGTCACAGCACAGACACACAAGATTGGCACTCAAAAAAGCTTCCATGCAAATCGCAGGTCCTCAATCGATGTTGGTTGTTTTTTTCTTCTCCACTTCTGGATGAAACGATTGGTCACCATCATCATCCCCGCCAAGATCGGTCACCCCACTGGCTCTCCGTTTCAACGGATGACCAATCCCCCAAGACCCCGACCCCATCCGTTTGACGGTCTTTTCGCTCACGGCCAGGCGCCCCTGCTGCTGTCTAGAGGTGACTTCATGCCTCATCGATTAGGTTGCTTGCTCGTCTTGGAGGTGGCGAGACGGACGAGAGAGTCGTTGCAGATAGAGAAGTAGCGGAAAGAGTGAAAGACTGGGTTGACACATGAGAAGAATATCAGCTTGCTAGACCTTCAGATGTTCATCAATCACTTGCTTGCCATGTTATGGACTTCCTGGATCCAACGACACTCTGCACGATGAATGAGTCAAGTCTGTCCTTGGCGGATGCACAGGCAAAGAATGGCGACGGCGAAATTGCAGGCTTGGGTGAGGCTTGGTTGGGCCTCAGTATGCAGCGCCCTCCCTACCCCACCTTTAGATAGGTAGGATACCCTAACTAGATCTTGCATGGATGCCACCAAAGACCAGCAAGGTCGTTCAAGCGCTATAGTGATCGGTCGTGCACATGGCGCATCGGTCCTTCCAACGTTTTTCGCGTCTTGGACGTCGGTCGTGCCGGTCGTGCCCGTCGTGCCGCGGTCAGGTGACGCCCTTGCCGCTCTTCCACAAGGAAACCTTGGAGGAGGCGAGTTCGGCAGACCCCGTGTTCGGCCGACGCCGTGGAAGGAAGAACACCAGCTCCACCTTGTTTGTTTGGGAAACAAAACATGATGAAACATGATGAAACCATCCGTTTACTTTGCTACCCTGTGTGGCGTGAACACTGGGCGGAGGGTACCTAGCTAGGTCTATAGTCGGTGCCCGACCGGACGAAGTCCAGGCTGAAACTCAGCTGAAATCCATCTTGCAGCGCTGGGCTTCGACACACCCCAAGGCTGGACGAGTGTTTTCAGAAACCACCCGAAAGCCAAAGTTGGCTCAAATTAAATTGTTGGTTTTGACAGAAGTGTTGTACTCTCAAGAATTCTGCTCGAAGGTTCTCCAGGATTGGCTGTTGCTTCCAGCAACTTGCAGTCTGCTTACAGAAGCTCATCATGCTGAATCCGAAACACATCATTATTCTCCCACAGGTGCCCTTTGCTTTGAGCCGTTTGGACGGCCACTTGACCAGCTGGCTGAATGACCACTGCGGAGGCACGGGGTAGGGAACGGACCGAGGTGCAGAGCGAAGACTCCTCAAGAACTCGTGGTCAAAGCAGCTGTCATTGCGGTGGAAGCCATGCGCCACTTTGACCGGTGGTCTACGCCTTGGACCGGTGTGGTTCGAAGGTGTGTATTTATGGATGTATTCTTGGGAGCCTCGACCGTGGCCAGGGAAAGCTCTTTTGCCTTCGGTCAGAGCTGGCCTTGAAATGGTTCGAAACTCAGAACCGCTGCGACGAACGGATGAGGAGTGCGTTTATGCATTGGAGAGTGGGTCCTTCCTTCATCAGAACAGATAGGGAACCATGAGGAGAACCATCCAAGGAACTTGTGAAGGCCTTTAAGTGCCATTGACCATATATTGACACCTGTACTGTGTATAGTATAGAGCCTTGAAGTTCGACCCATCCATGTGGATTGACCTGCAACTCGACTCTAGTCACTCTAGATCCCGAGTATACCAAGGCTCTCCTCCACTTGCTGCGCCGCTGTCCCGAGCGGAAGAGGCCGCCCTCTCCGCTCGCCACGTCCGCTCGACTCGGACGTGACGGGCCCGAGCCCGTGCCGAGAGGTTCGGAGCCGTGAGCGGAAGTGGTCCCAAGCACTGCACAGACTGGCTAGTGAGTGATCATTGGGTGGTATGGGATGGGTTGGGATATGGGATGGGATATGGGATGGTAGGGGATTCCGGAAGTTTTTGGAGATACGTGTGCCCAATGATAAGTGTTTTGGAGAGCTTCCATGGAAGTGTTTTTTCATGTTGCTTCAATGGTGTAAGGGGAGTGATAGGGAAAGATAGGTGCAAGGCTCTTCTTGCGACTGAAAAGATGTCAAAAGGGACCCGAACCGATCTTCCAGTTGAACGCGCTCCCAATGCCGAGAACCGTCGATTTTCCGTGGAATGAATGATCCAAACGTGTTTTCGTTCTCTCACAGAAGAGTTGGGGCGGTGGGCATGACGGTATGATGGTATGACTCCAAAACGCGAGACCCGAGGTTTTCTTGGACCCAAAGAACGATCCCCCTCTGCCTGAGGCCGCGGAGATCCGAAGTCAGCGAGGATCCCAGAGAATGTACTCATTCATGGCTGTGCTATGCTGTCCAATATGCTGCTGTGGATCAAAACATTATCAGTTTTTTCGAAAAAATGAATCCAATCGAATAGCGATGGCCTCCAACCTAATAGCGAAAAAGTGGATCAAGACAAGACGTATTAAGACTCAAAATTCATGAACCCCCCAGGTGAACCCACAGCCGAAGTGGCTTCACTCACTATTGATAGACCCATCCTTGCAGGAGTTGACCAATGACCAACTAATGGATCTTCAGCATTGTTCAGTCAGCTCCCCAAGTAACAGGCCCCAAGTAACCAGCTTTGACCGTAGAGGTCCCACAGATTTTCTTCGATTTCATGTTATTTGCTGTGCCCAGTCCAAGGCATCAACAGCCTCGTCGCTAGAGACGAGGATTTGGCTGCGGAAAGTGCTTTGGTCGCGAAGTTGAAAGTGGGCAAAGATCCACAAGAGGACGGGTGTCAGAAGATCATGTGATCTTATGGTGCATGCTTTGGACATTGTCATTGTTTATGAATCCCATTGGAAAGAGCTGTGGTTTCAAGATTAAAACAAGTACGAGAAAGTCAACAGAAAGTCAACATAGGAGTCGTGATGTGATGTGTTACGACACAATTTTTAGGGAAGTGTCATGTGCGAGCTGTTTGCTGGAGCATGCTGAGCATGGCAGTCTTTCTGAATGTGTCAGTTCTGAAACTTCTTGTATTTTTGGGCAGCATGCAGTTCCAGTCATGTTCAACGAAAGACCTCGTCAGGGCCTTACTACGCTGACAAGACAGGTCAAGTCCGTAGAAACTATTGATGTGTCTCAAGTTTTGAAGGGGACAAAGCAAAGAGTTTGGAAGGTTATCGGGGGTTATGCCTCCTGACTGGTTATTGGTGCTTTGTCCACTGCGCCCAGTTTGAGACACCCCAGATACGTGAACGACTGCGAAGCAACGCCGTGCCAAGCCGTCCAGGATGCCGAGCGCACCAATCAGCTCGCACGGCTGTTGCAAAAGCGCCCACGAGCCACTGGGTTTGCAGTGAGGATTGGAGTGCAACCATGCAGAAGTACTAAACTCCGAAGACTTCCACAAACGAGACCTGGTGAAATTCTTGAGATGGTCATGTTCGTCTCTACTCGAGGATGATTGAAGCAACATGGAACATGGAACCTAGCTCTCCGGCCGTGCCACAGCGACATGAACTTCAGACATTCAGACAACCGCCTCAAACAACCTACCCCCTGCCGAGAGGAGTTCAAGAAGCAGCAGCGATTGCAAGTTGTTGTGAATCAACATTCCATAGATGAAGTGCATGTTTTTTTTTCCCCGAGTATTATGAATTATGTAGGTGTAGAATCCACCAATAGACTGATGCAAGGTGTCGATAACTGTTTCCATGTTTCCTCATCAGCATGTTTGTTGTTGCCTACGAGTCTGAATTCAAGTTCAATTCATGTTGATGTGCAACCCCAACAGAGTCATTCCATACTTGTGCATACAGAAGTACCTGGCAGTCCATACCACTAGCCAGGTACTTGGCCAGTCCAGTCTAGACCCGACCCCCGGGACAGGCGAGATTACGTTTGGATGCCAACCGTTCATGGACGCTGGCACAGGTGCATTCGGATATGGGGGCGATCCTCTCAAAACGGTACGTGGGTCACTGAAAAACAGACAGGTGCCCTTCACTGGGATTTCCTTTGAGTTTCAACATAGAGAAAGCATATGGACCATGTGGATGATTCTTTTGCTTTCTTTTGTTTGACAAATGGTGACTTGGTGTGGTGAACTGGTGGAAATTGGTGGGGACGGACCTGGAGGATCAAAGTCCGGGGTGACAAGACTGTGTCATTGAAGAGCTTGAACTCATTATCCCAGTTCTTTGACAAGGATAGTTCTTTCAAACTGCCAAAAACATCGGACTGATCCCCAGCAAAGATGAAACAGGAAGGCAGGCTGCCAACATCTGCCAACTGCTCCAGAAACAGATGTGTCCAGTACCGCAACGGGTGTGTAGCTTTCACATCTGAGTACCGCAACTTGCAGGCCGCAACGTTCATCAACGGCTTGGACGAATCAGCCGTGAAGATTACAGAATACTTGGAGGCAGCCAGACGCTCTACGAGAAATGCCAGCAGATCCACTTTGTCTCACTAACATGGAAGTGGAAACTGGTCCCTTAGAAGACTACTTTCCTTACGAACAGAGGGTTTTCCACTTCCATGATCTTCCATGCTAGTGAGTGGGAGTGTAGTTTTAATTCGAGGATCTTCAGTGTTCAATGACTCATTCCGCCATTCCGCAAAGGCTGCTATCCAACAACCCGAAAGGAATCACTGCACCGATGGACTCCACTCGTATCAGGTCAAGATTGACTGATTTGACTCATGCATCCGAAGACTGCAAGGAGCCCATAGAGCAAAGTCCTCAATTGCTCCAGCAGTGGGAGGCAGGGCCGCGACACGGTTTTTTTGAGGCAATGGCTTCAATGGACGTGCGAACCGGGGAAAAGTCATCATGGCGAACGGCTCCATTGTTGGAGACGACTTGGCTGTGGGTCCTTAAACCTCCCTCACCAAACCAAACAGCATATCAAGGGATGTCTGGAGGCTGCGTGCGTGCGGACACCAAATCAAGGGATGTCTTTGGGCGGAACAACTATATACGCAGAATGCGTCGTGTTACCCAGGTGCTACCTGTTTTGATTCAGGTCTGACCAGCCTCCCCTCACCAGCATCAACCAACATCAACCAAGTCAAGGTCTCCCTGTATCACAGCATACCAAGGGATGTTAGGAGTAGCGCGTTGATTGTCAAGTCGTGTTACCAAGGTTCTCCCCTGTTTTGACCCACCCGCCAGTCCGCCGATCTGTGGGTCCTCCCCGGTGCCGAAGACAGGAGCTTTCCACGTTGACGGAACGACGGGTGGCCTTCGCAGTGGACGAGAGCCTCACGGAGGTGCATGAGTGGCGATCTCGGGTGGGTGTCAAAGAGTATAGGCATGACCACGACCACAATGGCAGAGCTCTAGATGGATTCTGTTTGGATCATGTTTATGATAGAATTTCAAAAAGACACAGAACTTCTAAAGCCGAACTTCAACAAGGTGCACGCGTCACGCGTTGTTTCTTTTTCAGTCCCTTACTTCCCTTGCTTGTGCTTGATGTGACGATGCCGTTTTGGTGTGAACTTCAATGCAGCTGCCTGGCAGCTGTCCACTCCGAGCTGTCGCCACCGGCAGGGCCTTGTGTCCACCAAAGACATGGAGAGCTGCAAGGCTCGAACATGCAGGGCTCATGCCGTCGCCGCAGGGCTCATGCAGTCGCCGCAGGGCTCGAGGCCTCCAAGGCCATGCGGCATTGAAATCATTTAGCAACGTTGAACAAGCAAATGATGAACAATCAATGATAGTTGCAAAATCAATGAACAATTTAGTTCATTTGGAGATGAATTATCAATGAGATGCCATCAGAATGAACACTTCTTCTTTTCTCATCTTTTCTCGCAGATGTTCACACATGATGGATTCTGCCCGGGCTACAGCCTTCCTTACCAGGCTCCTATCAAAGCGCTGGTGCTTAAGCCATCTCTACAAGGCGCATTGGCAATTGGCACCAAAACAAATGCCGTTTGTGTCAAAAGGGGGAGGGCTCCCAACCAATGATCTCATACGATCTCCACATGCATGTTTCTTGTTGCAAATCCATTGGCCTTGCCCCTCGTGAAGATACTGACACAGTTGATGAGCAATCTTGGAGTGGTTCTCAAGCTCATTACAACACTTAAATATAATGTAGTGGCAACTTCAACTGTCTTGGAGGTAGGCCTTGGTTTGCCTTAGGCCTTAGGTGGCTTAAGCAGATGACATGAGCAAAAACACACCTAGCCTAAACCCTGCTTGTTTCTCGCAGCACCGCCACGTCTCCAGAGACACTGGACAAAATCCCAGGAGTGCCCAGTGAGGTGGGCCCTTTTCCTCTTTCTCTTTCCCTCCAACCTATTGGATCACCCCACCCTGGATCGCCTCCGAACCAACCCCATCCCCTCATTGCACGGTTCGGAGCTTGGGGTCCGCTCCCCAGGACTGGAGCAAGCGGCGTCGATGGCGGCGTGGGCCGAGGAACATGGCTCGGAGCCTCGGAGCGCCTGAGGGCCTTCGGCGAAAGCGGATCGGTGGAGGGCGCCTGAAGAAGTGGAGGTTTCCAGGGAGGACAACGGTGAACGCTGGGGAGGGAGGCCTCCGGAAATGGAAGGTTTCCTTCTTTTTGGGCTAGATCGTTGGAATCTCATGAACTCAATCTGACAGGGCTTCCAGGCATGCATTGAACAAGCTCCATGGGCAACCCAACCCTCCAGTCCTCCTTCAACCCTCCACGATCGTCCTCAGGTGCCGTGGCCGTCCTCAGTTCGGCCTTCGAGAGTGGCGTGGCGCTCTGCCACTTTGCCCTGCTGTCCGCGATGCTGGCGCGCCAGGGCCACGGGATGGTGGGATGGTTGAGGAGGTTGAAGGAACGGGGAGGAAGGTGAAGGTAGGTCCTTCGCACGTCGAGGGAGACGAAGCGTTCGCAGAAGATGAAGTGGTAGGCCGTACAGGTGAAGTGGTAGGACTACGAAATAGGAACTGGAGCGCGGAGATTTGGTGGTACATGTCCTGCTCTCTGCCATTGGGGTTGTCATCAAATTGAGCATGTAATTAATCTATATTGGATTCATTAGTAGGGAAAGATAGGGGAAGAATTCCTTGGGGTCATTCCAAAAGTACAGTTTTCAGGCAGCCACCTTTTAAAACGCAACCCTGATGTATGGGTCTCCCAGAATATGAGAAGACTTTTGAAGGGAGGGCGTGACGGTTTTGTCACCACGAAGCAGCCACCCCCCAAAACAATATATTATATGATGCAGAAATGCTCTAAAAGGGGGCCCAAGTTGTTGCTCGTCATCACATGTCAGATCTTTGTGTATTGAACCACTCTGCACGTCTTCATCCTTCAAGCGTTGCGGATTTGGCTCGAGCTGTCGCACCATGACGTGGAAAGCTTCGCGTCGATGGCGGGGCGAAGTCCTTCTGCTTGGGACTCTGTTGGTGCACGCACTGCCATGCTTTGTCGAAGTCGCCAGCAGCTTGGGACGGTTCCAAGGCCTTCGGAAGCTTTCCCTCCGAGCAGGTTCAGTGATCGATATCGAAGATACTGGACCACTCTCAAGGAGAGCCATCTTACAGAGTCCTGGCTCAGATGAAGCCATCGCGGCATTCAAAAAGAAGTTTCCGCAGGTCATGGCCAGTCCCAATCCCAATTATCTGGGCACCTCCTGCAGTGAGTCGGATCTCCGACGGCGCTTCCAAGCACTGGGAGAGTCCATAGGTCGTGAAGAGGCCTTAGGTCTGGCCACCAAGGAGCCCCTGTTATTAGCGATGCAGGAAGAAAACCTCAAAGCCTCCTGGGAGGCCTTCCTGGATGAGGTTTGCATGGGGAATCGTGCCCAAGCCCTCCGGGTGGTTCGCCAGCGGCCGGTGTGTCTAGTGGGACCGGCCGAAGGCTTCAAGGGAAAGACCTTGGCGGAGTTCGAAGCCGTCGCAGGGGTGGAAGAGACCTTTCGTCCCGTGGGGGAGACGTTGAAGGAGATCGGACCGCAAGGTCTGGCGTTAGGTGCCGCCGCCCTGGGCATCGCGGCACTGGAAGCTCTGGGGAACAAGGCAAAGGCGCAAGGAGCTATTGAGAAGGAGAAGAGGAGAAGTAAGGACAGCACGCCAACTCCCTTTCAACAGACTTCCAAATCGCCTCCAAAGACTTGATCTTGAAACTCAACAACATTGTACATAGTGTGAGTCTGAGCATGTGAGCAGTGGCAAAGCCCGGCAGAAGAAAAGCAATGACAAACAGTCCTTTGATTCATTTGGATATCCTACAGCCCAGCCATGTGTTCTTGTTGGAAGCTTTTTGGCACTGCCAAGTCGGATCACCACAGATGCACTGGGAATGTGGATCGACTCTGCGAAGACGACTAGAGATCCCAATGAGTGGACCAGCCAGACAGTCGAAAACCGGAGTTCAAGAAGCTATATCATATATAGCGTGAGTATGTCCGAAAACGAATGCCTCTAAGCACAATGTGCCCCTGTTTTCTTTTTTTTTGGCATGATAAAAACTTTATATAGATGAACAGAATTGGAACATCGATCCACATCGCCTTTTTCTTTTGAGGGGCGTTCAACGTCACACCACCAGTCCAGCGCCTCGTTGCCACGGTCTCCAGACCAATCCGCAGAAGAACCCTCCGCTGCCAGGTGCCGGCGGGGACGGAGGAGGACGTGGCTCAAGGTTTGGGCACCTTCACCCGGCTCTCCGAGGCGAGGATTGACCGGACGAGAAAAAGGACGATGGGAGGAGGGAGGAAGGGAAGGGGGGAAGAAACCGTTTGATGGGGTACTTAATTAAGTGGTTTTGGATGGGGTGGGGTGGGGTGGGTGGCCCAACAAAAAACCGATGGATGCCCATGACCATGGGATTGAAGTTTGCATCCCTAAGTGTTTAATGAATTCGCAAATCAAGGTGGAGCGAACTGTTACAAAAGGCATGCCCTTCAATTGTCACTCAAGCTAGGCTCGCCTGAATTTTGTGACATGGTCATACTACGTATGTTTGAGACGTCGTCGCTTTAGTCCTGAACGCTTTCATTCCGACGGAACGATACCGACAGGATGTGCTGCAGCCGCCCTTTGCGGACCTCATCAATTCCAGCTCGGACCCAAGAAAGGAAGCCACGAGATGATGTGCAGACGAGATGATGCACCCAGTGCACCCTGCTCCAGAGAACCTCATCACGGCTTCCGTCTGGGCAGGCCCTAGGGCCTGGATGTCCCACCCGAGTCGTTGTAACCGAATGGAGCGTCGCTGGTTCCGCCGGTTCCGGCGGAAGTCGGCGGAAGGGTCGTCGGAACCGGGGTTCCGAGGCTCTGAAGGATGGCAGGTGAGTACGTTGAGCTGCCAAGAGGCGAGGCGAGTCTTCCATCGTACAGGAGCAACAGGCTTCTTGCTGGGAAGCCTGTGACTAGGGATCCAAGGGTGATCATGGGTGATCTAGATAGGAGGAGAGCTTCTGCATGCAATGATCGTTTCTGCAAAACAAGATGGCCAGTGACAGATCTTGGATCAAGTATTCTCTGGTCGGATAGCTGGGTTTCAGTTTGGACTTGGAGAAAACCTCTCAATCGATTCATTTACACTATGGTTCTATATGGTTCTCACCTTTGAAGGATTCGGCTAAAGATATCCAAAAGGATCCCAATAGTTGGTGCTTGTTGGAGTAATAGTGCACGCAGCTAAACTCCAGTCCTGGACCGTTGGCGTGAAGAAGATGAGGAAGCAGGTTCATCACCAGCCCGCGACCGCACTTCACAGTGAGACAGCGGCGTCTTGCCTACCACTCGCTTAGCGAGGGCGACCTTGTTGGCGCCAGTACTTCTGGGCAGGTTCGCGACACGATCCTTCCATCGCCGCCGATCACAACGCCACAACAAGCATCCTTCATTGGGAGAGCCGATCTGTTTGCCTATTTTGCAAATTCCATTGCAATACATGTCCCCCAGTGTTATACTTCTCATTAAGCTCGTGTTCGAGACGGTCTAGCCGTGATTCGGCCATATTGTGTCCTTCTTGCTGAAGAATAGGCCCATTCGGATTTGCACAGGGTAGACGTGTAATCTTGAGTCTAACGTGTTTGAGCATGCTGGTGAATTTGCCGCATCGCACACACCAAATACCAGGTCCAGACGCTGTGGTCGGCTATTGGATTTCCCATCCACAAGAGCTTTCCTCGTTTGTTTCCTTCTCGTGACAGGCATTGGATCGAAGCGTCGAGGCTTTAGTGGCTGCACAAGGCGATCGGCAATGGTGGGGAACTGGCATCGAACACGAAGCGAACCACTGAGATCGCTCGGAAAACCAGCAGTGCCCCACTCAGATGTGTAGAGCGGATGTTCTCCCAAGATAGACAGACCTGCTCAATGGGTTGCAGAATTGGTTGCAATAGGTCTGTAGTTTTTTTTTTGGCAATAGGTCAGTTTTTTGTTCCTATGATGAAAGACTCCGATTGGTTGCAAGGGGGTGGATCTGCACGTCTCAGCAGCTCCAGGATGCCGCAGCAATGGATGGTGCTAAGAGAGGCAGCGCGTGCGCGCATGTGCCGCTGTGCGCGTGGCCGGAACTCGAGGGTTCGGTCTTTGGAAGCACCAGGACGTCTTGTTCCGCACCTGTCAGGTGAGGGTTGTTAGATTTTATGTCAGCCTCATCTCCTTCTCCTCCTTCTTTTGTTTGTTTTGACATGAGTTGTGGTCTTTTTACTGCAAAACAAGGGGTGAATCTTGGCCAGTCTTGCTGAGAGATGTTGCTCTACTAGCTAGCATTTAGGAGATACGCGTGTCAAGGAAAGGGCTGGTGTTCCGAAACTGCTAGGAGAAAGCAGCGATGGATGCGAGAAAAGCCATAATATGCATGCTATAATCGAACTTTGCTGGATATAACAGAAAGGACTTGTCAGACAGCATGCTTCCGCTGCGTCTACTGCAGGATGCTGAGAGTACAAGCGGAGAAAGCTTGCAGAAATCTTTAGGCAGAGAGACACTAACTTGTGCATATGTGGTCTTCTTCCTGCACCATTCTGAACTTGGTAATGCTTCAATGTTTGATTCGTTCTGACGGCCAAGAAGCACTGTCGTTTTGCAGAGAAGGCCTTCGTTTTGCAGAGAACGCCAAGTCGGAAGCTCCTCGAGACAAGAAAACCACAGAATCTCGATTTTCCTGTCTCTCCTCATGTCCTGTACAGCACAGGCATTTGATGCCTAATTGCCATGGCATTACGACTAACCAGAAAGCCGTACCGTTGACTGTTTCCGGAAAGGCCAAAGGCATTGAACAGTAGCACAAGACCAAAGAAACTTTGCAAGCTGAGGTTTAGTCAAAAAACTTGCAGTAAAAGGAAGGTCTAGAGTCTAGTATCAGAGAAGCAGACAAAGCACGTTTGCTTTGTCTCGTTGACACACTGGCTGGCATGGCTTGCCTGTTTGATTGGTGACCACGTGGTTGTTTTCGTGTGTTTGGTGTAGTGTTCGTGGGTGTCTTAGAACTGGAAGTCCGAAGAAAGAACCGGGCCTTGATGGCTAGCAGTTGGCGGCTAGCCAATGGCACGTAGAACAAGAAGCCTGGCCAAAACACTTGCCGCCATCCATGAACAGCAACACGAGACTTAAATTCAAGAGTCCTGATTGTAAACCCACACATAGCTCTTCCAAGATGTGAAACAAGTCTCATCACCAAACTATGTAAAACTTTGTTGACCAATGGGGAAGTCCTGACCGACAAGTGCTTGAGCCACGAAGGCTTTCGCGGCAAAGTTGCCGAAGCTTTTGCGGCAGTGGGCATTGTGGGTGCTCCCCCCGCAGTGCCACATGTGAATCCATGTAACATCATGTAAGCTCATCGAAGCATCTATGACAAGACGTGCTAGTTGCTAACATGAGGGAGGGTCAATTTGGTCACCAATATCCTCTTTGGCAAAAGCGCATGGGCCGCCGACCATTGGGCTCAGCCGACCATGCGCTCGCCGTCCTTTGTGTTCGCCGTTAATTCAGGGAGACAATTTTTGCAGCCGGGATCATGTGGCTTCGTGGCTGTCGGAACAGCGGTGAGAGGGTTCTACGGGGTTTGATGCGGAGGCAGGAGCCGGTAAATCGATGTCACTACTCTAGCTGCTGGAAGCGTAGCAATAACTTACTGCATTAAGAATGCGATTCTTATTTATAGTTTTATGACATACATACTGTAAGCTTTACTGCTTTAGTTTCACTTTTCTTTAATATGCTAGACTCCCAAGTTGAGAATGACCCCTCCTCTTCAATTGCGCAGAAAACCAGTTAAGGAACGCTTGGACTAGAAGACACCGAATCAAGAAGACGCATCGCATTAGGAACAAAGTAGGTCGCTGCCTCACTATGACGGGACTTCCTAAACACACACACACATATATATATATACCTTTCACATCTTTCGCAATGGAATCGGCCGGTCAGTGCAAACATCTCATTCAGATGGGAACTTTCCGATTTCACGAAAAACTCTGTGCCTCACTTCCTGCCCTGGCTCTCTCCAGCATGGCATGATCCTTCTCGCCCCCCCAACTTGACGACCCTCAAACGAGGAGCCAAGTCGTCAAGGACATGGAATGGATCCTGTTTTCAGGGTCTTCCCGTGGTCAGCGCAGCAAAAAGGCTCAGCACCCATTTCCGGAGGGGTGGATGTTGTGGCACTTGAACACCCAAGGCAAGGACCACTGGGCACTGGCGCATGGTCCGTTGGTCCCCCTTCGTTGGAAGTGCTTTCACAGCAATGTCACCTGCATCCATCTTGTGAGTTGAACATTCTCAGGCTCATCCGAGCCATTGGAGCTTGTCATGGGGTAGGGGTTTGGTATGCTTTTGGTGTGAACGAGTTGAGATGTCAATGTTTTGACATGGCCTGCGGCCACCTGCCGCATGTCCACAGAGTCAGACCGACCTATCATCACGCCGGTGCTTGCGCTCGACTCATCACCTGCCAGTGAGTTGGACTATGACTCTAGGGATTGTAATCTCTGAAAACAGCCAGAGAAAATCTGGTTTCTCAGCCTCACTTTCTTGTCGCGGAAGAACCACAAGATTGTAGAACCCCGCAAGAGATGGCCATAGAATCTTAGAAGGCCAATGGATTCATAATTAGATAGACAATATATCTCTCACGGACCTTGCAACACCAGAATACCTGCAAACTGCATGAGCCTCCTCCAATCGAGCTAAGGAACAGCCAGACGGTCCAGACATGACTGATAGGTTGCAATGCGGATTCAGACCGAACTTGCACCAACCATAGTGGACCCTGAGAACATCCGACTCCTTCTTCTACACTTTAAGTGATTCAATCCATGTCTTGGTCCAGCGAACCAGTAATATCAGCGACTGCGATGATTGGATGTCGTCTGATGCTGATGCACTCCTCATGGTTTGCAACGAGGTCACACCAGCGTGTGCTTTGACTGAATTACGGTAGAACTGCGAAACTCGATAGAACTTCAGGATTGGTTTCGATTCTTGAGCGAAGAAGAAGAAGAAGAAGAAGAAGAAGAAGAAACATGAATAGACTATTGCGAATGGGGAATGTACCATGCGAATGGGGAGATAGAGGGACGTACGTTAATTTCTTTGCCAAGACGCCAGAAAACAAAGACAAGCATATTTTGCACCCAAGAGAGTAGAAACTACTTTTGTTTATCAGATTCTTTGCAAGGATACGCACAGATACTTCTTGTCGCTTGTGCCCGAGGTCGGGAAGGGTTCACAAATACCTTCTGCTGAAGGCTGAAGGATGTTGCTATTGTGGCATGATACAGTATTTGCGTTTCCTGGTATTGATCCTCATGCAGTGCATCAATTTCTCTGGACAAACACAGCGAGATTTGGTGTGTTGTAGCTCAGCTTTGAGGTTGAAAAACCAGATCACTGGTGACATCCCTGCAGCACTAGTGGTAAACCTCTTGATTGAAGCTGACGCTGTCAGGATCCCAGCAAGTTCTTCTTGAGCCGTGCAGTAGCTGTGCAGCTACATGCAGCTGCTGCTAGCTGCTACTGCTTTCTTGAAGCAGTAGACAGAGTGTAGGTGCAGGGCTTGATCCAAGTTCAACTGGACAATTCCAACGTCCAGACGTTCCGCACGCGTCACCGGTGTTACGCTCATAAAAGGTGCGCCGGTTCGATATATATATATATATAAATATTCCTATCGGTAAAGGCTAGTTTGATTCAATAGATGACTGAATCATACTGAAGCCCATTTTACGACTTAGTCACATTGCTTACGTCTCAGTGCAGTTTATAATTGTTCAAGAATAGAACACCATTCTGCCGGTCAAGATGCCATGCTCCGGGCTGGATAGTGGTGTGCTCATTGGCATTGGTGGCATTGGTGGCCAGGTTCTGAGGGAGGCTCCCTCGTATGCGGCGCATGTGGCGACGGAGATGGGGCACAAGTTCCTCGCGCAATGTCTTTCGAAGGTAGCCGAAAGGATTTGTAGCGAGTCCAGCAGGCCGACGTGGATTGCCAAAGCGCCTGCCAATGGGGACAGCGAAAACCGGTTGGAAGCAACGCTTGGGGGCAATGGCATCAAGGAAGAGTTCAAGGACACGCAAATGGATGTTCAGAAGCTTGTGGAGGAGTGCACCGTCGACGCCAAGGAGATTGTGAACAAATGCCCCATCTTCATCTTTGGCAGATCTCGCCAAGGCAAGAGCACACTGGTTAACAATTTGCTGAAGGCTCTTGGCAAAGAAGTTCGTCCGGATGGCCATGCCTCGGTGGGCCACATGACACCGTGCACTAAAGGGGTGGAGATGTACTCCTGCAAGTGCAGTGAATGGACTACACCTGGTCTGGAAGAGGAGGTGATTCTCTTTGACTCAGAAGGGTGGGAACTTGGTAAAGCAGTGGACTTGTGGAGTGAATGTATGAAGAAGGCCAAGGAAAAGAAGATTGGACAAGAGGTTCTTCCCCAGCGCCTTGTGTTGGTCTTGGTGGTATCTGCATCTGCAGAAAGCCGAAGTGAGCTGGCGGACCCAGAGTTCCAGAGGCTGGTGAGAGAGGTGTGCATCCAAGCCAAACAGGCTGCTGACAAGGCCCAAGGTCGTAAGCCAGTCCTGGTTCCAGTGGTCACCAAATCCGATCTTTTGGAGAAGGAAAAGCCAGACATCCGAGAAAAAGTTCGTCATGCCTTCAATGAGATGCTGTCCAAGTCCTTCAATAAGATGCTGTCCATGTCCGCTCCAAGCATCGCTTTTCCTTGGTTCAATGGGACCAACGAGCCAACTACTTGCGGTAGATTCTTCGGATCATCCGCTGGAATTCGAGACATGATGGATGTACGTGAACCCATGTTCGTTGCTTCGAGTCCAGAGGACCAGGAGGACCCGGAGGGTGTTCTGGAATTGAAGAGGACACTTTCACTCATCTGCAAGGAGCAGTTGGCATCAGAGAACATCCTCAGAGCAGTCCAAGTGAGCATGGAGAAGAAGTTGCTGGAGGAGCTGAAGTCCTGGGAGAAACGTGGAATTGACTCGCCACACAGCTTGGTGCGGCGGTTCTTGTGGGTTGTGGCGCGACATTGCAATCTACGTGTCAAGAACCTCCATGAGGATCACCCGAAATTGACGTGGGATGCGGCCGAAGCAAAGGCAGCGGTCATTCGAAGCTTTAAGTGCCCCAAGAAGACCAACGAAGACACGGACTCCTATCACACAGACCCACTCCGCCAGAAGCACCGCCAGCCATGTGACCCATCCGCCGACCTTCCGTGCAGAGAGGAATCCACGTCCACGTGCACTAGCACTCCGAAGGGCCCACAATGGGATCCGTATTTGACCACCAGCTGCAAACGTGGAAGGAGTGGAAAATAGATCAACAGCAACAAGCCAATTCTTGCAACGGGTCCCATGGGTCCCATGGGCCTCTTTGATGAATTTTTATATACTCTATATCTAATCACAGCCGCTTTTTGTGCGATGAGTGTCTTCCATTCCAGTGCACAAAGTTATGCGCTGCTCGTCGCGAATTTGTTGCCTGGTACCATTACTCGTTCGACTGGGCCACATCGGCTAAATCCCAACTCGTTCCTGTATTGATTGAAAGTCGATACACGCCACTCAGCCGCCAGCGGCCACCCGACATGCTTGAAGAACACCCCGAGAAAAAACCGCCGCTCCGTTGGGGCAATCCTTGGAGCCCCCGACGCGGAAGGGTTCAGGACTTGTCGCGCCGCGGCGCAAAAAACGCATGTCAGCTAGTTAGAGTCTGCTGTTTTGTCATGCAAGGACCATCATTGTGCAAATTATGCACAAAGCATTTGTAGAGTGGCCAAACAAACCAAAAGCATCAAAAAGCAAGAAAGGATGGCAGAGCACGAGACCATTGTGCAACTACATGGGTTGTGCCAAAGAATTTTGTCCTGTCTTTGCGCAGCCGCCAGACAAACGGCCGAAGAACGTTCTTTTTTTGTAGAAACGGCGGTTTGAGTTGCCCTTGGGATAGGGATACGCAGGGCCATGATGCTGACATGAAGTCCTCAGACGAAGCAGAGGACTCCACGATTGGACGATACTGAGTGTCACCATTGTGCTTCCTTTTCAGCTTGTCATTCTCCAACCAGAATATACAAAATTGATCAACTGTTCAACATTGAATATAGATCTTATTTTTGTCGGTGGTCCATGTTCCATTCATTTTTCCAACTTGCGCATCACCGTTCATGAGGCAAAGATTGGATCACATTGTCACGTTGTGCTAATTCGAGGCTGTGAACCCAGAGCACTCCCAGCCAGCATAGATTCTGTGGAAGGAGGTACGCCGTACGCGAACTTTGTGAAGCAGGCAACATTGTGCCCCACCAGGCAAGTTACCAGGGGTCATGCATGCTTGATACGGCGGCGGCTAGTGGACGAATGAACATGATGAACATGAAGAGATCTAGATTGGTTGGTTGCCAGACTTGTTTTCCCACTGATTCAGATAGAACCCCCCTACCCATGGTCGAGATCCTCCCAGGAATCTTGCAGCTGACGCTGCTGTGACTGACATGTACTCCTTGGAAACGTCATCACTAGTAATCTAGTATTGGAAGTAAGGATGGCACCAATTCCCCAAACAGTGTGGGCACACTGAGGGGTTCTTACGTTAAGGGAAAGGAAGGTGTGCTTAGATCGCTTGATGGCACCAATGATTTTTCCTTGAAGACCAAGAGAGTCTTCGGCTCCCCGTTGCTTCTCCTCCCAGGATTGAGGATTCGATTGCCTCCCAGGGGAGCAAGCAGGAGCAGGGCCAGGCCAGGGTCAGGCATCTCATTTCGCAGATCTTCAGATGCGTTGACTAGGTCAGTCCTCTGGCGGCTTCTAGCAGTATAGTGAATTATATCATGGAATCGCACTCTTTCGGATTAAAGCACCGATGGGACCGTAGTTTGGCTCGCTCCGATTGCCTGACACAGCACAGGATTCGTTCTTGCACAGCAAATGCATCGAAATGCATCTCAGAGGACCATGTCAGACGGCCGAAACGTCGGCAGTCCGAAACGGTCAGGAGTGACGCCTCCACAGCAAAGACTCATCAAACCATGGTGATCATATGGTGACTTCATGTTGAATCAACGAAGCAAGACACCGGATGACGACCGAGACACACGAAAGCTCCGCTGATGCGCCGTTGAACAGCCGCCGCCTCCGATGGCGTCCTCACGAGTGGCGTCCTTGAGGCAGGAGTTGGGTGAATTCGGTCCTGCCCTGGGGCGCTTGGGGTGGAGCTGGATCCTTGGTTGATGGCAGCGTTTCATCCCTTCTCTTTCCTGAACCTCAGGGAATCTAGAAACATCGAACAAATGGATGGCAAGGCGCCCACGTTTCTGGAGCATATACCATCCAAATCATGAACTATCACCGAGCATCGTGCCGATACATCCCCAAGAGAAAGACCATTTCTGCTCCCATCGACTCCGCCTCTCACGGATGTGTTTTCAACGAAGGACGTCCTCTTTTCTTGACAGGTACGATGCACCCTCCGACTGCCCCGTGAAGTTGGACATCTCCGAAGATAGCGCCGTTTCGCAATCGCGAAGTCTGGATGCTGGCTGCTGTCCGAACCCCTGGATCGCAACCTGGAGCTTAAGAAGTGACATTTGCATCTCAGGAACTTCTATGTTATAGAAAACATAGATCTGAATCTGTATGATTCTATAATATTCTATAATGATAATTATAGCCATGTCAGACCGAGTGATTGATATAGTCTATAGTTGACCAAAAAATCACATGCCACTTGGCTTTTGCAGAAGTGCAGACCCGAAAACAAGGCGACAGCACCTGTTTTTGCTACTCAAGCACTGTGCCACTTCATTGGCTCTTGCTTGGGTTTGACCCAGCTTCTTGGCCTCCGAGCGCTGTTCAAGGGAATGCCAAGGGCGGTCGATCATGCTTTAGCCTCCATCTTCGAGGAATGCTTTCCGGGGATCCCTATCAACACCATGCCGGTCGTGACGCGCCTCCTGGATGACTTTCGAGAAGCTTTCGTCCACCAGCTGGGCAAGGAGGGCAGGGATTGCAAAAGTAAGTGGCTGCAACGAGCATGATATAACAAGCACATCCAAACATGTGGTTCTGCAACAATTCCTGTACCGACATCATATTATCATATTGCAGACACACCCGCTTTCAGAGCCGACGTACACCGGTGTCTGCGAGGAAGAACAAGGTGGCAAGGCGGCGATCCGCTTGGTGTCTGGGATGAAGAACGGGGGGATGGCCTGGGATGCGACAAGGCTTGAGGTAACACATCTCAGACTTTCGAGAGCAAAGGGTTACTGTACTGAGGGTGTGGGAACTTACCCCCGTAGATCCCCATGTTCTTTGAGAGCTAAGGCTTAAAGGGTAAAACTAAAGGTGTGGGAACACTTACCCCCATAGCCCCATAGATCCCATGTTCTTTTCTATTCCTCAGCTTTCCTCGTCTTTTTCTCCTTCGTAACGGTCTGCCGGAATGGCCCGGCACCAAGTGAGTCGACGGGACGCTTCAGTCGTATCGATCGGATCGGAAGACGCCAGCGACCCGCGACGGCGAATAGATCAACAAACACATTGAAGAACAACACGTTTGTTAGGTCGTCTTTTGGGTTGTTTTGGGTCGTCTTTCGCACGTTCTTCGCTTTTTTTTCAATGTTTTTACCGTTCTTTTTTCCAAATTCACCACATTCACACGTGGGCCGCGGCCCCGAAGTTGATGAGATCTTCAGCTTTTACAGGAAGCCTGGGCAGATCTCTTTCTGAACAGCAGATCATTGCAGATCCACCTTTTTCAGATCCTTTTTTTGCTGTTCCGAACTCCACACTTTTTGGAACAAAAGCTCGAAGCTTCCCGTCCTCGCTTCGTTTCCCGATCACCTTCGTTGGCGATTCAGGTGGTGAGCGATTCACCTGGACGCTTAGAGCTGGAGATCTTTGGATCTGCGTCGTGGCAAGCAGATGGAGACTTGGTTCGTTCATCTGGTTCGTTCATGTTGGACCCCTTCTTTGGACCTGTGTGGACCGTACTTGATGACCATTCGGTGACAGGTAGGTGTGTGTGTGTGTAACCTTTGGAGTCACAAGGTTCCTTTTGGAATGTTTTCATATTTTGCAGGGGGCTCTGGGTCCACTTTCACGCCAGAGCCAACGAAGACCGTGAAAGATTGGACGTGCAAACGTACATGCTGTTGACCGCACCTGGGCATTTAAGTGCAGCTGGTGGGTCCTAAGTTGTTGGTCCCTGCTTTTAGCTAGAACAAGACATCCAGCCATCGCATCGGTTAAGGCACTCGGCAGTCATGCAGTTGTCGCTTTGGTAGAGTTGCTCGGCAGTGGAGTTGAAGGCCTTGAGCTTCGAAGATGCTTAGACCACCTTATCTGCACCTGTCCTGGTTTGTTAGGTTTTTCACTTAGGCCGGCGTGTGGCAAACCGCTTTCAGTTCAGTACGCAAATTCATAAGTCTTTAAGTGTGTGAAACCCTTGGAGTCACAGGGAATCCGTCCATTTTGTTTTTACTTGCCTTTCACCTAGGTGTATTGAGCAGGGGGCATGCGGCCATCACGCAAACGCATGCCAACGAAGCTATGCGTGAAGGTGGAAGCCAGGTCTGATCAACCTGGTGTACCTGCTTTGTTGAACTGTTGTCCAAGCTTTTACTCCAATCATCCTCCAATAAAGGGTTGATGCATGTTAATGCCAATGCATTCTGCAGATGTGCACGGCCGTCGTCATCCTGTCGCTCTCGCCCGGTTTTCGAGCTATTCGAGCTCGGTGGATTTCTTGGAAAATTGCATGGTGATCTCATGGTCAGATCACCTTTACCTAGGAGCTATTATACTTACCCTGGTTCTTGAGGCTTTTACCTAGGCTGGCGTGTGGCAAACCGCAAATCGTGTCAGTACGCAATTTCTTGAGTGTGTGTGGGTTCCTTTTGGATTGTTTCCTTTTTCAACAGGGGGACTGCCTGACTCTTAACAGCGGCAGTCCAACGAAGAGGCAGTTTTGAGTCACTGATATGGATTCTGGACGCAGAATCCACGTACCTGCTGAAGTGTGATGTTCACAAGCTGTGACCCTACTCTTCCGTAAAGGGCTAGTGCGCGCGGCAGACAAGAGCGTACGTCGTCAGCTTGTTGTTCGATCGATGGTTTCTTTTGGATTTGCTGGCCACTTGAAACTTGATGGACCTCCACTTCCTTTCAGGTTTCTCACCTGTACCCTTAGGAAATGGTTACTTAGGCCGGCGTGTGGCAAACCGCATCCAATCAGCACGCATTTTCATAAGTGTGTCTGGCTTCTTGCCAGCCCAGGGTGAGCCCGCAGAGTGCCCCCTGTGGACCCGTCGTATCCCCTGCCCGGATACAAGGCGGCCTAGGCCAAAGTTGTTTGCCAAGACTTGACGAATGATTGAATTCTAAGCTGGCTTATGCCTTTACGTGACCACAGCGGCCGAAGCTTGTTCAAGGGTCCGTTGTGACCCGTCGCTACCTCAGGTGCACACACACACACACCACGTACATTCTGAACGAGGTTTGCCTAGGTGTGTCGAATGAGGTCTGGCTTCATTGGTTCTCGTCCCCTCCATTTGGTTCCCTGTTTCATCCTTTCCCGTTCACGCACGTCTGGTTTTTCCTTTTTTCTTTCACGTCTTCCTGTCTTCATGTTCTGTCGCTTTCCTTCTTTTGCGCGCACACGGCCTGACCCTTAGTTTGTACGTGCGCAACCTACTTTAATTTAGGTTTTAGGTCGCCCAGGTCTTTACAATGAGGTGGGTTCTCATCGGTTCCCTGTGCACTTGGTTCCCTTTCATTGCAACCACACACCTTTGTCCCGTCTTGTCTCCTCTTCACGTCTTCATTCTTTTGTCTCACTGCGTGCGCACTTACACATTTGTCCTGACCTTAGGGCTTCTCGCCTCCCCTCGGGGAGGCGTGTGTGTGTGTGTGTGTGTCCCACCCTGGACAAAGGGTCTTACACCACCACTCTTCCCATTCCACACAGGCAGGGGGGCGCAGCAGATGCAAGGGACTGCGCCTAACAAAGCTACCTTGCATCTGGGAGGCCAGGTCTGATCAACCTGGTGTACCTGCTTCAACTTTTGAACACGCTGTCCAATTTTTGGTTTGATTCATGGTGGTTCCACATGATACTTTCCCCACAAACAGGTTTCCCACTGCACTGCAGCTGCTGACCGCCGCTTCCACTTGCGCTTGTCGTGAAACCTGTGTTAAACAATACAGTTTAAGCTGACCTTTCCACCTTGCCGTTCCATCGCCTTCCTTCCCATTGAGACAATTGCGTTAACTGAAAAAACCCAAGTTCGAAGTGTGTCCTGCTCAGCCGTCCCACTCGGGTGCTGAGTGTGATCCCCGTCACAGGGGCGCCGTTCTTGCATGGGAAAGCAGCCACCCCAACGCACCACCGCTCACTGGATTATCACAGGAAGGCACCGACACCCTCACAGAATCAACCGCCACACCGGCCGCCGGGCCAAAAAACGGTTCTTGACGAATCCTTCAGATTCCAAACTTCAGATCTCAGATTTCAGCATTCAGTTTTCTTTTCATGTCTTCCAATCATGTGCATGTTTCTATGTTCGCTATGTTGCTGCCGCGATTCTTTCATCGACAGAACTCAAGGATGGGCATTACAGCTCTTCAGCTTAATTCGAGATGCATGAACACACACCTACCAACAAGCTCACATTTAGCACCACCTTACAACATATTCACCACTGACACCAGAGAAGACACCTCCCACAACAACAAGACAATACAACTCGGCACTTCTCCGCTGTTTTTTGCTGCCGCGCCGCGCCGCGCCATAGCTACGACCACGACATGCATTTTCCGTGGCCCTATGCTCACACCACGCCACCACCATTACCTACCACACAACCTCAACCCACATGGCCGATGCCACAACCATCAACTGCACCCACCTTTCCCTCGACACAACCATCGGCATACCCTCACCCACAACCACAACCATTTCAACCACCACCGTTCTTGTCCAACCCTACCGCCACTGCCCTGACCTACGGCACACCATCCACTTGGACTTTTGTCCAACCATGTCACGTGCCACCGCAACCCACACATCCAACTCCAGTGTTTCCGACAGCAGCACCTCCCCCGTCCTACTTGTTGCCACCACATCATCCCACATCACCGGCTGAACTTCCCCCCCCCCACTACACTGACACATCCCCCTCCAACACAGCAACAGCCTGCGATTGCCAATTATCCATCCACAGACCCCCAATGCGCCATCCCCCAGGGCGTTTGGCAACCCTATTCAGCTTTTCCCCCCGTCACACAGCCTCCACTCCAACCGTTGCCCCCACCACCGCCTCCACAAACCATCAACGCCTCAACACCAACTCAACCTCCACCTCAACAGCAGCCACCATCGGATCCAACACTACCGATCCAACCCATCCCCACGACTGCCCAGGACAATCCATTACCAGTCCAAAACACGCCTCCACCAGCTACCGTATCCCAACATTCAGCATCCCCATCGCTGATATCTGCCACACCAGCGCCTGGACCTTCACTACCAGCACCAGACCAACCTGACACCACTGCCTCACCAGCACCGCAACCACCTTCCCCGCAACCACCACACAGCAGTCGCCGCCACCACCACAAGAGCCGACGCAAGTCCGACCATCACCACAGAGGACGCCACCGCCACCGCCGCCGACATCGCCATCACCGCCACTCCAAACATCACAGCACAACCCGGCGACGGCGCTCGCCTTCAACATCCACCTACACATCCAGCCTTACGCCATCCCGCAGTCGTTCGCCACCACAACCCATTGATCTACGCCCCAACACCGAACACACCAACCCGGACCCCTCTCAATATCCCACCACAGCCGTCCTCCGTCGCCCAATCAACCGTTGGCGACCTCCACCCAACTTTCACACCTTTACACCTGCAGACCAAATCCTGGAATGGCTCGAATTCCACGCCACCCAACTCGACAATCCCAACCGACCACAACACCAGTACATTGCCAATATCCTCACAGACTGCAACATCACCTACAAGGAGATCACCGATTTCCGACAATATACCCACGCTAAGTGGAACGACACAACTCACCAATACGACCAATTCCAGTACTACGCCATTTCACTTCCCTTCCTCAACACCAAAGCCACTACACCAGAGCCACCTGCGGTTTCCCGCGCCACATCAACCCACCGGGAAGTCGCCCACATCAACGCAGGCCACACAGGCCCCGTCGGCAACATTTCCAACATTCTACGCCAAGGCCGTTTTTTACCCAGCACACTCCACTTTGCCAACTACCCTGGATTTTTTGCCCAGGGCGTTCGCATCACCCACAACCAACCCCATGACCACAACGAACTTGCCCGCATCATCCACAACACCTGGCAACTCCACAAGAATTCCCATTCCCTTATCATCACACTCCTTGCTTGGGGTGCTGCCACAAAATATACCTCTGGAGGTGAGGAACACGCCATGAACCTCCTTAACGACCACCATGGTGCAGTCTTTCATCAGAAGGGCCGCTGCTGGGTGATCCACCCGGACCACGCCATTGTCAAAGGACTGGCCTGGTCCACCAACTCCACTCCACCGGACCCATAACACCACTACCACACATCTACACACCACTACCACCTCCACATCCACTTTTGGTCTCACACCACCACCCAACCTTTGCTGTAGCAGCAAAAAAGAGCCTCCTGCAGCGGCCACGCGAATTTTGAACCCTCAATTTTTCTAGCTCTGCAGTGTTTGCTGAGAACATCTTTTTCGAATTGTACCGGCTGTTTTGATGGAGTCTTTCACATGTCAGATTCTGCATCGTGGAGAGTGATTCTTCAAGTCATGTACTCAACTGTCCAACCGGCATTGCATACTCGCACTTTTGCCTGTGGGAATTTGATGCTCGCTTAATTCATATGCACGGCCTCGGGATGACGCGCTCCCTCAGACTCGCCGCTGTCCGGCTGCTTTGGCGCGCTGCCGCAGCAACCTGTGACGATTCTTGACCACTGCACACCCCTACATCTCAGACTCATGAGCAGCACACCGACACCTCTACAAAACGACACCTCAACTCTCATACACAAAACCGCAGTGGCACTTTCGCAGGTGCACAACCTGCTTCGACAAGCAACAGATATTGTAGCACACCTCCACACGGTTCTCCTCCACCACAGCCACCAAGCGGACCCCACTTTCCACCAACACTTTCAGCCACTTCCAACTCCGCCCAACCACCCTATACGTTTACCATCCACCACCTCATCCTGTGACTCAGCACCATCCAG